TGTTTAGCCTGGAGAAGAGGAGGCTGAGGGGAGACCTCATCGTGCTCTACAACTACCTGCAAGGAGGTTGTAGCGAGGTGGGGGTCGGTCTCTTCTCCCAAGTAACAAGCGATAGGACGAGAGGAAACGGCCTCAAGTTGCCCCAGGGGAGGTTTAGATTGGATGTGAGGAAAAATTTCTTTACTGAAAGAGTGGTTAAACATTGGAACAGGCTGCCCAGGGAAGTGGTGGAGTCCCCATCCCTGGAGGTATTTAAAAGACGAGTAGATGAGGCACTTAGGGACGTGGTTTAGTGGGCATGGTGGTGTTGGGTCGACGGTTGGACTCGATGATCTTAGACGTCTTTTCCAACCTTAATGATTCTATGAATGAGTGACCCACTTTATGATATTCTATGATTCTAAGTTTCTGATCATTTTGCTCATGCAATAACAGCCATTCATACCAGCAATTTGTCACAATAAAATACAGATTAAATCTGCATTAATTCACCTGGACTTTACCTACCCAGCTGGGATCAAAATCATGACAAACAGTGACATATTCTTGGAAAATACGTATTTCAGTCTGCCCCTACGAACTATGGTTTGAGAAACAAGAGGCTACTATTTAAAATTGCACAAAAACAATTTTTCTAGAATGCTTTGGTCTTGAAAATTGGTTTGCTCCCTTATTAGTTTGTACAGAAGATATGACACCATTAGGTGAGAGTTACTCCCTTTCAGCTTCCAAGTTAGAGGCCAAAGAACACCTCCTGAAATTCAATCCACTCTGTTACATTTCTTGCACAATCCTCAGCAATCAAGGTAACAACAGGAATTGTACAGGGTTTGTACCTTTACGTACGAGACAGTAGCTGTGTATTTCCAGAAGAACATCAATACCGACATGCCAAGCTACAAAACCAATCATTGTATAGGTGTCCCATGGGTCTGGTAGGTCAAGTGCTGGTAGATCCATTCCCAAGAACATAGTCACCACTAGTCAGTAAAAACAAGATAAAAAGACACTGAGTGCTGTGTCAGGGTAATTAAAATATGCTCTCAACACCTTTGGCAATAGATTTCCCATGAACTGCCTACAACTGCTTGGGGAACAAGGTTAGAGGAGTCCATGCACCTAAAAGCTTTTTTTTTTTTTTGGCAGTGTGAGGGGGAATGCAGGGAGGAAAGGAGAAGGCCAAAATGGCCTTCATCCTGCTCAGTGCCCTATCACATCCTAGTCACAAACACTAGCATTTGTGACTACCAACAAGACCACAGTCACCGCAACATTTGTGCTTAAGCTGCCTGTGGAAACTCATCACTATTAATAGAATTAAGCCCAGCTTCTGGTTCTGCGAGTTTCCCCTCCCCCATTAAGTAACATTGAACTATATTACTGTAAGAACACCATCCTCAAATCTTCCAAGACAAAAATAAATTACTCAAGATACAACAAGTCCTCATTACATAGATCTTTCAGATTTGTCTGTAATCTCTTTGGTTTTACATAGTCACTTTTTCTCCCTAAAGCTGTACCTGATGGCCACTTAAAACTCACACAGAAGATGGCCAGCAAGAAAAACAATCTTTAGAGATGCTCCTGGACTGGATGCCCATAGATGTTTTACATGAGCAACAGCCCAGACAATGAACAAAGTTCCTTTAAATCACTTAAAAGGGAGTAACAAGTGTTACTCCTACTCACCAGCTAATATTCTAGCTGTTGTACCAGTACTCCAGTGAAACCAGTTAAACAATTGCCTCCTACAAAACAATGAAAAGTATTTTATTGACTACATAGTTGGGAGGGGATGTTAATCAAAGAACATTGTTACTTGCTTTAAAGATATCTTTTCAAAATAATAAGAATTTGTAAAGAAACAGGCATATTTAATTCCTGTGGCTGTAACTTAATGAGTTAGCTGTGAGTACCTTGGTGCATGACGAGATGGTCTGAAACCTGCCATAAGTGCTTGAAAGATTGTCAGAGCCATCACGGTACAGCCGAGATAGGGATGAAAACCTGCTTGCTAAACACAGGACATTTTTCTTTAACATCATATCTATATAAAGATATAGGGAAAAAACCAAGAAGTTGATATTTATGCTTGTATTAGTTACAATGGTGGAGCAGCACTGTGTTTAGACTGGCAGAGACAACATGACACAGTAAGCTGCCCTGCAGCTGGATGGAGATGGTTCTCCTTGGCAGCATGAGACACTGGTAAGCCTGCCCAGGGTTTGTCCCACCTTTTGCTGTATTGAGAAATTCTACCAGCTGAAGAGCAGAGAGCAGTATGTAGAAGCTATACTCCAAGCCCTTCATCCTCAATCCTGTGTCTTCAGGAGATGCCTATTTCGTAACTCCTCCCAGCACTAGTATCTCCTCACCCTATCTGTTCTAATCTTAACCCTAAAACATTTTATTCAATTTCCCTAGCTCATACCTGTGACCACATTCTTCTCCCACCTTTAATTCAGATACTCTCTAGACTTTCCAATTTCTGATATCACCTTGCACCAAATATTATACAGGTGACAGCAACAAGTATACAATCTCTATCTAATGTTCCAGACTAAGCTTAGTCATTGGATACAGTTACTGAAGTCCAAGTTCATAACAACACTTATTCCCAGCAGTTTTACCACATCAGTATGTCAGCCGTCCCATCCTGACCCCCCTCCCAAGTTCAAGTTCTCTAAGGAAATGGGAAGAAGACGGATTTAGTACATAAAGAAACTGTGAGCAAGGACTTTATTTGAGAGAACGAGGAAGGAAGGAAAGTACTGAAGTTTTTCAATTGTAATTAAAGGAGGCAACGTTGTTCTTCGGTGTTGCTAGGATTTGAAATCAGCCTACTTAAGGACAGCTTTCACAGCAATTTCCTCAGCAATAGCTGTAACATGTTAGTCGCCAGTGGACCTCGTTCTCCTTCATTTGGTCCAACCTTTACATTTGAGTTAACAAATAAAACAAAAGCACACACTTACTTGGCTCCAACCTCCTCGGTATATAAAAGGCAACACAAAAGAAATGCTTGTAAGCGTGACTGTGGTCAACATAAGCATACGATGTACCTAGAAAAGTTAAGTTTGCTTTTAGAAACTCTACAGCTTTCTTAATACGCCATTAAAATACATTTAACAGATCTACAGTTAAAGATGTTCTTAGTCTCCTCTTTAGACTTTGCTTTTACTAGTAAAGTAGGTGAACTTCTGATTTGTAATTGTTCCATTTTATAAGATTAAAGAAAGACAAAAATCACACTAAGTTTAATCTCCTCTTTCTTGGATCTAGTAGGTTTATAATTCTGTTTACAATAAAGCTAGAAAACACAGCTGGAGATATGGGGAGATTTTGCCCACCTGAAACCACATCTCCTTTCCAAACAGGAATGAATGAGACCAGACAGGTTTGAAGAATCGTGCAACAAGAACACCAATACTAACTGTGGTAATCCAAGCAACAAACATTAGCGCTCCTGAAAATTGAAAAATAATACAAGGTAAACACGAGTAATTTAGCTGCATATGAATACAGCTTCAAAGACTGTGTAATAGTTTAGTCCATACGCATATGGTCAGAATTTACTAGTGCTAAGTTTTAATCAGCTGGTTCAGACTACAGCTTTATAGCATTTATCTGGCTAGAGGACAGAAACATCCATATAAAAGATAATCATACTATGCCCGCACAGCATGACAGAGCAGCTCTGGCTACCGCACATTTCATATACGCCAGTACAGTCAGTACATACTGGTGAGAGATGCTGTTCTGTCACCAACTTAGACGTCAGAGAATGAAAGGTGACATTTCTTTCAATTTGTTTGACAAAGAATGAGTTATAGTTCTCTCATGGGCCTGCTTTAAAATCCAGTACCGTAAGACAAAAAATTCTCATTAACTTCAATGGGTCTGGACTGTCAGTTGAGGAGTTTCTCATTTCAAATAGAATTAAACCAATAATGCAACTAGAACACATTAAACCAGAGAGAAAGAGGTAAACAGAAACAAGTCCTAATTATAAATTTAGGAGAAAATGCAAATGCAGGTTCATTTTTCTGGGTAAAAAGAATCTAACAATGCTGTTCTTGAAATGAAAAATTATTCATAACTTTACTCTGCCTTCATGGTCTCGGATCTTGCTAGCCAACAGTATATATAACATGAGCACCAGAAAGACAAGAGGAAATACCTACTCTACAATAATGAGGAAAATCTAACTCTCCAGTCTCAGCAAGTCTAGAACTGGAAAACAAAACTAGAAGTTGCAGCTTACCATGAGCCTTGATAAGTCGTGGGGACCTGGAACCTCCAATATCATGAGGAAGGCCTGTGACATTGTATATTCCATTGGTGATCAGAGGCTGACGACGATGTTTGTGTATTAGTCCACCTAAGCAGCGACAAAGTAGTTTGTTTATGGCTGATGAAAGCCACTGCACTTGTAAGTGCGCCCACTCCCTATTTATGACTGCAAGCCCTGTTGTGACCCCTGAGCATAATCATACAAACTAAATTTCTGACACACAATATGGTAAGAACCTAAGATGTCATCTGTCTTGCATACTTTATGTACAAGAACCAACTTACCCTTCTACAGAAAATAGCTTTCTCCACTACACACACAAGATGTGAAGAATAATTCCTTTCGATGTTAGTCTCCATTTCAAAAAGATGCAGCCAGCTCTCAAGAAGCTAACAGTTCCTAGCATCAAGTGGGCATACAACACACATACATGAGTAAGTTGACTATAACTTCCAAAAGCAAACCCATGGTCTGGAGAGGCAGTAAAGATGACTAGACTAAGATGCCTCAAACTTGGAAACCTTAGTTCAGATACTAATTCTCAGCTAAGCCATGTCTTACATAAGGGTTACTAACTCATTTAGAACCGTTCAAAGAAAAGCAACCACATGCAAGTCAAGTTTACCTTCACTAGCTTCCCCATCTGCCAGAAAGATGTAGTAACTGGCATCCAGATTAAATCTCCCTTTATAAGCAGGAAGACGAATACTCCTTCTGAAAGAACATTGAAGAACACCATCCACAAGCCTCCATGACACATCTTCAAGGGCATTCTGTGAAACAGGAGACATTTAATACCCAGTCTTTTCAGACTGGCAGAGTAATTGGCTTAAAAGTAACCGTGCAAAAGACAAGAGTGTCACTGGTGCACAAAGAAACACCAGCAATGATGGGGGGGGCGGATAAAAATCTCTTGCATACCAACGAAGGTGTGTCAGTAAGTCAACAGAGCAACATAAGGGTTGGACTTATTACCACAATTTTTCCCAGCTCATAACAACAATCTCGGGGCGGATAAAAATCTCTTGCATACCAACTTAGAAGGTGTGTCAGTAAGTCAACAGAGCAACATAAGGGTTGGACTTATTACCACCAATTTTTCCAGCTCATAACAACAATCTCCCCTTCCCTTCCAACCTTTAACCCAAGATACGTTGATTGCAACTGCAGCCCTAGCAAAGGGACAGAGTAACAACAGGCACAAAGTTCCTCAATAGAGTAAGCTCCCACCACATGACCTGTTTTTAAAAATTAAGTTTAGACTTCCAAAGGTAACATTTACTAGGAAGTAAGAGTCCAACCAATCTCACCTTAAAGAATTATGGATCCACCTCACTATTTACAGCTGCTGTGCAAAATCAAAGCACAAAGCGGCAGCATACCATTCATTACTTCAAACCTACATTTGTGTAAGTGTCTTAGGTGTTTTCAGACGTACCTCTGAATCCAAAACAGGACGACTTCGCCCCTTCAGATAGGCAGGGCTTACATGAACACGGTGGTCCTCATTAACACACAGATATGCATCATCACCACCCTGGAGAGTTTAAAAGAAAAAGGTATTTATAGCCCAATAAAAACCACTACTGGCAGTCTCCAAAAGCTCTTTGATTTAATATATGCAACAAGAGCTGAGACAAGTTTCTCTAGCTGTCAAGCTATTATTTCCCAGCTTTCAAACACTTCAGTATTACAGAGGAACCACATTAAGTCAAACAGTTGACACATTATGATTTACACTCCCCCCTCTCCCAGGGTAACAACCATACTATCAGAAGTTTCTTTAATTATTTAGAATTTACTAAATTAACCAGACAAGACAGAGATAGATGCTGAAGTTATTTAAAAACCCTCTTCAGTTAAAAGTTGGTTTTCTTCACAGCTGTGAAGACAAAGTATTGTTAAGAACCAAGTGTTCTTGCAGTAGGGACATGAATATAAACATCACCTCCTTTGTGCAACAGTTAGTTTACGGATTATGCATTTGTCAACAGCATCGTCCCTTCACTTTAACACCAATTAGAAAAAAGGATCTCTAAACACTTTTTAAGATTGAATGGAGTCACTCCTGTACAAACAATGATGAAATGCAAATGGTTTTCAGAAAGCATAGCAACTCAGCTTCTGACAGGTGAGGGGTTTTGGCTAGGTAACAAAGAAAGACTGATCTAACCAGGAATTCCAGTCAGCTACCATGCAATCAGACAGGTTGGATTCTGCTAAGACAGATGTCCACAGGGAAATTCTACTCCAAATAGTCAGTCCTGAGCTAAAACTGAATATCCACCTATAAAAGGCAACCTGTGCTTCAGCACTATGGGAGAGAAGTTACTTTGTGTGACATCTAGCAGCATTTCAGTTTTCCATATGCATGTTTTGCTAGAGTACCATTCAAACTTTACTAAGATCACAAAAGCAACTGAAGTAGTAGAATAGGACACTCACCATCCACTGGTCATGGGACAATGCAAATGCTAAATATCCTTCACTTGGACCACTCATTTCAATAAATACTGAACTCTTCTCTTGTTGGAAGGATAGAAAAAAACAGGAAGCACTCTCAGGATCACAGTTTGAAGGGTTCCTAATGCAGAACTTCATATTTCCACAGCCTGATGCATTAAACTAGACATTAAACAAACAAACAAGTCATAAGCAATGAGAGTTTCTCTCTTCTTCCTCCCTTTCTACCCCATTCTAGAAGAAAGCATACAAGGAACAGCAAAGAAATGCCATCTATGTCTACATACAAATCTCTTAACCCATCCCTACAATTACCCCAGGACTAGCAGGTAAAATGATGGCAAGTTCCAAGCTGTACTTCTACTCAAGTTGAATTTTCACTTTAAAGACATAATAATAGAATAACTTTGAAAAGCAAGTAAAAGCTTTAGAGAAACTTCCTTTGGTTTAATTTTTAGACAGGTAATAATTGCTGTAGGATGAGGGAGAAAAGAAGGGAAGATCAGTTTTTTATTTCCTTTTTAAAGTAGCAACTCCACTGATACACAATAAAAGAATGCACGGATTAGAAGTCACACTTATTCTGGATCAAGTAGCGATGCTTGCTCAATCCATTCAAGAATCAGTAATGGAAGTCAGCGACACAGATGAACTCATAGAAGGAAGTTTCTGAGCCTGCGGTTACTAAATAGGAAGTTATTAGTCAGGACCAGAGTAAGTCTTTTCCCCATCTCTCTTCCCAGGTATGCATAATATTTTCTGACCATTAAGTTCTAAATGTTCTATCAATCTTTTGACCCGTGTGTGTTGTGACATTTAACCCATACAAGTTCAGACAACTCAACTAACACAACAGGGTAGCTGTCTATGTTCTTGGTCTGTGATACCCAAGTTACTCATCCATCATCTCTCCCTTTCTGTCAATAGACTGTATCAATGTGATTTCATTTAATTCCATTGATCACAAACATTAGAGAGAGCATTATTTAGGTTTACAATTACTTACTGGTTTTGATAAGTAGGAAACCGGGTGTGAAGTTGACACAGCCTCTGATGTTGCATGCAAGGGTGGTGTTGGGGACAGTGCATTAGGCTGAGAAACAATAGGACCAGGAATCTTCACCCAGAAAATCTTGTATTTCTTCACAACTGTGGCTCTTGAAAAAAAACACAACACACACACAGAGTCATTACTGTATACATCCACAGCTGATTTTTACTTTAAAAAAAAAAGGAAAAAGGAAAAGCTTTATAGTTTGTTCAACTTATTTGTAAAACCCCCATCTTTATGCAGACCTCTACCATTTTAGGGATTTAAGTAGGAAAAATATTTGAAATCTCAGTGGAAAAATAGTTTTAAAACATATTACTGCATGGTCTACTGCATATAAGAAACATTCATGCCTGTGGCACAGATTACAACCTCAGAGAAAAGTTGCATAGATTTTATGCATTAGTGCCCAAAAAGCTAACAGTGTAACAGGAGGGTATACATACCATTTTGTTAGGTACAAGCACAGAAAGAGATTCTTTACACTGTATGTTACAGGCATGAGAAGTGAGCAGTTAACCAGAAATACTAGAGAAACCGGTCTCCGAATCCCCTTCTACTCTCCCCACAAAAATCAAACTAATTATCTCCAAGCTTTCCCTAAAGAACAAGTGTCTGCATTAATGTAGATTCTACAGCAAGCAAGAGGTGTCAACTTTTCAGGCCATCAGTCCAAGGATACTTTTCAGTTGCTGGCCAATATTTGACACAGAATGGTACAGGTTTACCTTATCTGCATTTTAATAAGCTAGAACTAACACTAGATGTACTTACAGAAACTGTACACGTTTTGGTGCATCTCCAGGAGCGATCCAATAAACTTTTATGTATTTCTTTTTTGCTTTACTTGTGTGACTGACAGCTGAATTCTGAAAACAGACACATAAAGAGTTACACAGTGGATATGCACTAAGGAGATTTCAGCTAACACAGTCATCACAGGCTGCAGCTAAATCCTAAACAGACACCGCACTGTTACACTGCACAGACCCAGTCCAACTGGCTTTTCCCCAATCAGTCATGATCAACTCAGATGAAGTCTACCACTGAAACTTATATGCACTAACAAACTTTAAGGCTAAAAGGAACAACTAGAGGTCTTTCAGTCTAGAAGACTCCAGTAATGAGACAGAGGTCCCTGCAACATTTATGCAGAAATGGTGTGATAACACTCTGTTTTTTGACAGTAGGAGCATGAAGGGACAGTGCAATGACTGTACAGAGAGAACAGAACTAGTATTCCAGAGGACAAAAACCAAAAGTAGTCTTGGGGTCAGACAGTTATTTGCACAAGATAAACAGATCAGACACAGCACTGAACTAAGTCCTCAGAGCACAGAGGGGACGACCCAGACAACCCCATGGCTTTACAGCACTGATGAATGCGTTAATTGGACACCACTGGGGGGCAGGCAGTAGAAGTGGAGAGAAAAGAAAATACATCTAGGCAGATTGAGAACTTTGTCCACACCGGCTCAGGTGACACTGTACATGTTCATGAAGTTCAAGCGGGTTGCTGAAACACTAGTCAGAGTTCACATCTCTTGCACATGAGGCAGAATCAATTTATCTAAAACAGATATTGAAGATTGCGATCTAACCTGTTACTAAGAAGGCTCCATTAACAGTAACTGACAGAGCAACACTAAAGATAATCTACTCTAGTGTTTGTTTACCACAATAACTGACCTAAGCTTTCCTTGCCGTAAGACATTTTCTCTGTCCCTAACAAGCATGGAAAATGATTGATAACTCTCCTCTTCCAAGCAAATAGAGCATGCCCTCCTCTTTTTAGTATTAAGTATGATAACCAGGAATATACTACCTTCACTGTGCACAAGTAAAAATCATGTTATGAATGCTGCATCTTCCCACAGCAGTCAATAGCCTTCTACCACCAGGATAGTTTAAATGGCTTGCAAGAATAGTCTGACAGAGTTGCAGTGAGACATGCCTCTATACTGCAAGTTCGACCAATTTCCTGAGAGACTTACTGAGCTCAAAGAAGATTACATAGCTTAGCTCTGTCCTATTACAGACCCGGTCTAGTACAAACACCTCAGTGCCTGATGTCCCATTTTAAGACACTAGACTATACCTTGGTACGGCCACATGTCAGAAGCTGTGAAAGTCTCCGGTCAACTAACATGAAAGAACCAACGGCAGGGCTATCCAGGTGTTCCGCATCCCGGGCTTGTATGAAAAATCCTTCAAAATCTGGTCCAGACAGATGAACTGAAGCAAGAAGAAAAAGGAAGTGGAAATATTCTCCAGAGGAAGAATGAAATATTTCAACAATGACCACCAGAAGCTCATTTTACAAGTACTAAATGACTGCTAAATGGATCACCTGAACAAGATCCAACTGCTTAGATAGACCTAGTATAGCTAGCTGAATAAAGACACACTACAACACACAGAAACAGTAAATTAAACTCTTCAGCTATAACTGACACAATACCTTCTATGTTGTCCCCTGGTTTAAATTCAGTCCCATTCACTGTAATGGTGTGCTCAGGTGACAGCTGTGGAGAGCTACCATGACAGGGTATCATGCTAGTGCAGGCTTCTCTTATTTTTCCACTTGGATAGCCATCCACAGACGCATAGAAGCAAATAAACATCCAAACAGCAAAAGCAAGGCCAGGCAGCTCCATCTATATAAAGTAAGAGTTACAGGCAATTAAATACAATAAATGTTTACATTACAGGTCACCACTCATCTTTAGAAGAGTCAGTTGAATACTGAAGTTTAAAAACAAGTTAAAAACAAAAACATGCATGAGAAGACACCATTCCCAGCTGCAGAAGCCAAAAGTAACGTGCGCTTCTGATAACTGCTAGACTTTGCAAGAATGTTCACAGATATCGTGTTTCAGGCCATCAAGAGCACAGACAGTAGATGGATCCCTTCATCCACTGGGTGGATTATTTCTCTCAGTGCATTTTGACATCATTTTTTAAATTTCTTTTGCTTACGCCTCTCCCATTCTCTCTCAAAAAAAAAAATCTGCAGAGGACAGATGGATCTTAAAACATGTTTCATTGCTGTATAAAGGTCCACAGTATACTGAGGAACTACACAGCTAGTATCAAACCACTCTTTTATTAATCATAGCTCCAAATTGTGCATCATTACAGACTGCCTTTTGTTTCCACAACTCGTGTCTACTTCTTCACATATGACAAATAATTCCCAGGTAACAAGTTCTTCTTTCTGCAGGGAAACTAAAGTTGCCAAATGTCAGAAATAGATTTTATACATGCAAAAGAGTGGGAATTTGGTATAAAGATTTAGACAAAGAAATATGTTTGTTGCAGACAAGCACAAGACTTTTCCTTTGAACTCCTCCTTTTGGATATTGGACCTCCGGACAATTAGTCAAACAATAGCATTGCTTGTCACACTCTCATTAAGGGAACAGTACACATGAAAAACATGTAGGGTATTCGGACCGAAGAGCCTAAAACAGTTATATGTACCCCTAACCCCAGCATTCATCATATAATGTCTCACTCTGCCACAATACTGTTTTCAAAAAAGCTGTGGTAATTGTTTTGTTACTCAGCAGCATGCAGGATTTACAGTTGTATCGTTGCTTACAGAATGCCTTAGCCAACAAGAAAAACCGTCTGCATGTCCAAAAGGTTGGGAGAACAGAGATAAACTCCCTTGCAATCCTTAGGTACAAGAAGTGGGTTATCAGCTCTAGTGGAACATATAACAGGCAAGTACGTCTGCCTTCTGGAAGAGCCATGCCCATTTTGCACCAAGTGATAAGAAGTATCAGGTTATGAAGTTTCCTGACAGCACGCATGGACATGAAGATAAGAAAGGCACAGAGCCATTTCAGACTGAACTCTGATACCTAAAAAGCAGTCAGATGAAGACAAGGCATGTCATTAGTCTTACACACTCTCTAGGAGTCATCAACATTAACTTTTCCAAAGTTCTCATACATTCAGTGCTAAAAATCCACAATATCCAGAGCAATACTGCATTTGTACTTCAACATAAGAGCTCCTTGGCAACTTTACACCAGTAAATATAAGACAATCAAAGGGGTTTGAACAGTTACATTTCAGGAACTAGGAAAAAAAAAAACCCAACACTCAACTCCTCCTGCCAAATATTCAAGATAACATTATGATAATATCTTTAACTTCTAGTTAAAGTAAGCCTTTCCTTCTAGTTCCAATACTTTTCCAAACTGTCACAAACCTACATCAACATGATTTTATTCATAAGTTAAGGAAGCCTACAGAAACCTAAAACCTAAGGTTCAGTACAATGGTGGCATTAAAGCAGCTTTCATACATACCAGTGAAATCTTCAAAACAAGTTGCTGCCAGAAGAGATAAGGCTGCATACCGCAGAAACAAGAAAAAGAGTAGGTTAGTATTCTAGTTTAAGTAGCAGAGGATGTGGTAGGGATTTAAAATGAAACAAGAAATATTCTTTAGCAGACTCAACTGACTCAAAAGCTGGCAGAAGAGAAAAAGGAAGCAGCAGAGATGAAAAGAATGAAAAAGGCCAAAATCTGAAAGTACTGTACTAAAGAACAACTTTTAAAAACATTTTTTCTTTTTTTAAACAGGGTTATCTGTAGAAGAGCAATCTCCTCTATGCACATTCAATGATGAGGGCCAGATCCTATAAAGAATAGTAATTTCCATATTAAAATTTAGCTTTCCTCAAACAAGACTTATTCAGCTGCCTTGAGAAGTCCCTTTCCTCCTTTAATCTGGAAATACGCTGTGGCACTCTACGTTCTCCACTTACACTGTAAAAGAGGCAGAGGGAAGATGGGAAGCACTCGTATAATATCAATCATTCTGTGGTTAAAGATTCATTTTGTATTTTTAGGAAAATAGCTCCTAAAATGTTATTGTAGGCAAAACAGTACAATAGGTCAACATTCTAGAGAAGTCAAGCTTTAAGAAATTATTCCTTACTTTCAGATTAAAGAACTCTGGACTTTAACTCGAATACCATAGAAAAACCCTTTTTACAACAGAGGAGAACTTCATATTCAAAATTGTAGTTTGTACTAGCCAAAAGCAGAAGTTAACAATCACTCATCTGCTGCCTCTAATTCAGCTAGGATCTCACTGTGCCTCCCCACCCCCTTTTGCAACACGCACATACCCCCTCAGCCTTCAGCCAAGACCTGTTTGAAACAAGCCTCATACCAATCATAACAATCAAGACAGACAAGGACACAAAATCTGAATATACAGGAGGGAAGAGGGGAAATCCAAGAGATGCCCAGAACTTCCTCATATAAGCAGGTTAGGGTGTCTCCTTTAGCTCTAAAAAAGCACCTGTTACAAGAGCACGAAACAGTATGTCATGCCCTCGTGAATATGACAGTCAGGCCAAGAGAAGGAAAAAGTGAGTTAGTCTAGAAAGCTGAGCACATACCATTAGTAGTTCAAAAATGAACAATATTAAAAAAACACCCAAGGAAGATACCTAATTAAGCTAATGAATCAGCAATAAGCAATTCTGAGAAGGGACAAGAAAAGGTATCTTTGTACTCAGGCTGAAGATCGATAAGCAATTATATCCATCCTCAGCCAAGTATTTGCACAATAGATCATCTGTTTTGCTAAACAAAAAAACCCCACAGTCAGCCACTGGCAAGCAACAAGTCACTCCTATATAAAACAGTCACCTCTTCTTCTGTAAGATTACATGGTTTCCTCTTTTCTCTGATTAGAGTTCTACAGCCACGATAGTGTTATTTCCCTCCAAGTGATGTTGTCAGGAATGACTACATTTTTAGACATTTATCACACCATATAGACCACAATGCAGAACAGTTATTTAGAATTAGAGGAGTAACTAGCTTTAACATTTTAACTAATCACACGCAGAGGTAAAGGAATCAAGGTTTGCAATAAGTGAACATACAATAAACTGTAGAATATGCTACTTTTTTCTGATATTCCCTTTTGCAGGAAAAACAGAAGACGACAACTAAATCTCACAACTACATACATAAGTACAACCCCAAACAAAAAGCGTCAGGATTAATGGCATGGAAATTATTTGTTAGAGAGGTTAGGTTCAGGAAAGCTGAAGTGTGATATGTGAATCATGCTTAACCTCACCACAAAATAAATGCCTTTTAAAGAATAAAGTAAAAATAAAAACAGTTCTCCACCTGTATCAAGAAGCACCCGAGAGTCTGATCAAAGCTATCACATCTTACAGAACTGTTACTCACTATTATTCTACTCCTCCCAGAAACATGGCTGAATTAAAAAAAACCACAGTTAATTTGCATTCTAATAAAGATGAATCAGCAGATCTCTGCAAGATCGTCTTTTCTAGATAAGAACAACATAACAAACTGCGTCAAAACCTTAAATCACCAAGTATTGCCACTAAAGCTAGATTCAAAATGAGAATCTATGTTAACTCAAGCTTTGAGGTGTGTAAGCTGTGGAACAGCCTGCTACTACCTATAGCATTTGAAAATACTCTCAGTTTCCACCATAACTTATTATAAATTGTAAATTTGTCCTTCTTGACAGATTTTGCTTGCAAGTTGTATTTCAAAGGGTTATAAATAAGTCACAATGGCCAAAGCTTCTTAATACAACAACTCATTGGTGACAGCCTACAAATTAGCAGACAGTCAAGTTCCCTGTACTAAAGAAGAATAGGAATAATTGACTTCAGGACTGAAGCATAATGATGTTAAAAAACATAAAAGCTAATTCCTGCAGTATTTTTCAACTGGCAATTCTCCACTGTTTTTGTTAACTTACTATCGTTTGAACAGCCTGGAAGAACAGGAAGCTTAAGGATTTCTGCACTACCCAGTGACTTGTTTTCCAAGATAAATGCATTACACTGAAATGCTTGTGTTAACCAAGGGCCTGAGAGTACATATAATCTCCTTCCTCTATCCTGCCTGCATGCCAGCTGCACACCATGTGGTAGCATGCATCAGTAAATGCCCCAGTCAAGGTTACAAGGATGCGCTACAGAGCATACTAGCTCCACAGTCAGAACACAATCACATAGCATTGATTGTTGATTTTACTTGATCTTGTACTATACACAGACTTTTCAATATGTTATATACGACCAAAGACAGCATAAGATCCAGGAGTCCTTTCTCTACAGACAGATTAGATACTAGCGCATATGACACCATTACAGTATAAGACAGTTATTAAACAGCTATGCTTCATACCTTTACTAAGAATGGAAAAAATACTTCAATACTCATTAGTTTGAAGCATGACTGCAAATTTGTTATTCCCTCCCAAACTCTCCCTACTTAAATCTTCAGTATAATAGATAACTCTCAACCCTGGCAGGAAAGAAAGCTTCAGAACAAGTTTGTTCAAAGAAACTTCATCATTACCTGTAATTCTAACAGTGTTTCAAATATCATGTCACTCTTGGGGTGAAGGGAGGGAGGGAGAGAATTGTGTACTTGAAGCCACTTATAATACAGCCCTCTAATTAATAGAAAACAAAAAAATACAGAGTGACAGTCATCATCTCATCACCCTTGCCTAACATGGGCAAAATGCTTTAAGCTTTTCCAAGGAAGTTGAGTAATCGGAACGTCAATTAATATTTCATATGGAACTTGATTATAACTGTAAAATTCAATTTCAAACAGAGGTTACTCAATACTAACAGCTGACTTCTAAAATTTCAGTTAAGCATTTCTTGAGCCATACTACCGAGTTATTTTGTATGTTTGCTGGGCAGGTCAGAACTCAAGACAGAAATAGAGCTTTTTGTTAGAGCACCCTTTTTTGGGAACTTACATTGCATACAACCCACCAGAAATTTGGAGGAAAGTCATGTAGAAAAATCAGAATAGGGGTCCCAAAGGTACTCCATGCATGGCCAGTTATTCCAACAGTAGTGGGATGCAGAACAGTAATTTTAAATAAGAGGCAGCCAAAAAAAGCTCACTGAGAACCTACAACAGATATTCCTGAAAAAGTGAACTAGAAACAACTGTTTCAGTTAGTATAAATGGAGATGAAGTAGCTAGGATTCTTTATATTTACGATGAAGTAGCTAGGATTCTTTATATTTACAATGGACCATGACAAGACAAGAACACCTCAGTGATAATTCAAACATTAAAGGCCAAAATAATTATCTGTGGCTTAAACTCAAGAGATTCTGCCTGGCAAGGCAGACTGCAAAGAGAAATACAGGTTTGCTCATAATAATAGCTACCAGCTTCTCTAAAGTTTCAATGCAATACAACTACACTTGTCTGAACATTTAGAATTTATCATCCCATTCATTCAGGAGTCATCTCTTTCTCCTACTAAGGAGGAAGGAGGAGTGAATAAGAAATGGGGGTAGGGGGGTGGGAAGAGTGCTTTAGGAGCAGAATCTTTGAAAGCCTGAACCAACCATACAAAAATTTAGTGGGAATCTTTTCATGATATTTAGTATACACAGGAATTTATTCTCCTGATTACATCTCACGACCTTACAGTAACTGCATTTGGATAAATGGAGAGCAGTAAGTTACTCCCTCCTGTGTTGAAAAAACTCCCACAGTCCCTGCAGGTATCAACAGCTAAGAAAGCCCTGGTAGCCTAATTCCTCAAGAGCACAATGTTCACGCACAAACTCAGGATCTCTTCACAGAAATTATCTTCTTTCAGCCATTTAACAGAACTTCCATTAGCTGCAGAGTATGAAACCTAAAACTAGTTTCAGAGGAGATGAGAGGACGGGCAGGGCAAACATATTGCCAATTCAAAGGTACAAGAACTATCCCAGCCAGAACTTTTCTCCTGAGCACCACCAGACAAGAGGGCAAGCAGAAAAGGAAAAAGCTGCCTAAAGGCAAGTAAGCTGTGTTAACAGAAGGTGTTTGTGCCATGTCTCTTTAGAAATATACCCTTACAAAGCAAAAGCTGGCAGCCTTGCTGTCCAAGAGTCACCTTCCCTCTGAGTTCAGAAAAAGAGCTTGGGTTAACGTCTCCTGCTCATTTAAATGTGGTCATATCACAATAGCTGGATGAGCAAGGGCAGAAAACAAGTAGCGTTCACATTCACGATAACTCATTACTTTTTTTTAAAAAAAAAAAAATCACACCCCCACCCCCCCCACCCCCAAGATAACAAAACATACACACCTCAGCCTCTTGGTCTTTCTACTCAGGAAACATTCAAAGAGAACTTCAAGGCTTTTCTGTTTCCAAATGAATTTTTGTAACAGTTTAAGCGTAGGTCCTTACCTTACTGTTACAGCGACCAAGCCTGAGTAAAACTGCCATGGGATTTCTACTTATAGTAAGACAGCTTATATTACATTGTAACCTCTTCTATTTGACTGGCATCTAACAGTATTAACCTTTATCATACCCAGGATCAGAGGAAGTTTGTCTGAAAGAAGAAACAGTACACACACGAAAAAGGAAACATTTGTAAGAGTGTTCTTTACTTCAGGCACACATTTTATACTGCTTTGCAAGCTCAGCACTTCAGCTGAAGTGCATGAAGTTGTAATGAAGCACTGACCCTGCAGCTTCCTTTGCTTTGTCAGACATATAATTCCACAGACCTCAGAGAGTTTCATATTAAGTAATTATTTTAATTATCTTCTGGTGCAGTTAAGGGGAAAAAAACCCAAACAAACCACAACTTTTGATACCTTCTTCCTCAAAGCACAAGTTGGTACAAAGTTGCAGCATGATTTTAAAGCTTGTTATACGTTTACTCCCGACCAAAGAGACACTTTCTTTTCAAAAAATTCTCAAAAAGGAATACGATCAGTGTGCCTTTTTTCCATATATCCCACCAAGAATGAAGAAGAGGCAAGGATTTTGCCCTGTTCAGTTATTTACTTTGACTATTTAACTTTCTGTTGGGCAACTGCTCTGCATATAATCTTTAAGGCCCCAACCTTGCAAACTTTTATGTATACAAAGAACCAAAAGTTGCAGGCTGACTTAAAAATGACAGTTTGTTACCCCAACAAGCAAATTCAACTACAGGATCAGCACATTTGCTGTAACAGCTACCATACAGCCATCTCCTATGCACGTTAATGAAGAAACAACATAAGTAATATTCACGTAACATTAAGATGCAAACAAGATGCAAGAGAAACATGGTTGGTGTGGCTTCCAGATAAAATGAGCCTTAGCTTACCTTTACTCATTAAGGCAAGCACACTTAAGAGTTTTCTCTAAAGCAATTCAGAAATGCTTGCATGAAAGGCAGCAGCTACAAGGTGCTTCAAAAGCTTCACCAGATTTTAATTTACTTCATAGCTACTGTAGATATTCTAGTAAGCATATATACTTTTCAAAAAACTCGCAGCATCCACACTTTGAGCACTCACTGGCGTCAGTTTCACTAAAGCGCTCTGGAGCTACAGCAGCTTCTCTAAGGCAGCCCCGCCCGCCGCGCACCACCCTCGCTCCGGGCAGCCCCACGCTCTCCTCTCCCCTCCGGCACCGCTCCCGCAGAGAAGGGCAGCGGGAAACCGGCCG